CATGTATCTCCGCATGAATCCAATTAACCTCCATACCATATTTGGTGACGATTGTTCTACAGGGGCGAAGTAGTAGTAAAAAAATGCTAAAACTCCCATAAAAACCGCAAAACGCAAAACTGAAAATGTGTATGTACCTCCTGCATGGACCTATTGAACCTCCATATCAATAATGGTGAAGATCCATCCACACCCTGCGAAGCAATTACATAGACATACAACAGACAGTACTATTATACTTATATAGACACTGAGTGTATGTACACTTGTAAGTGATATTTACAAAGTATATTCAGTACTGAGGTTCGTTCTCTCTTCTTCTTTTTTTTTAACTGTCACTTTTTCTTAAGTTTAACAAAGATGTGATAACTAACTCCCTCTTGTGTTAGTCAAATGAGTGTAAGAGTTGAAATTTTGAAATACATTTACGGAAAAATTAGTTAAATTATTCAGAGTGGGTTAACAAAAAAAATATCACACTTACGATCCAATGGGGAAGAAGAACACAGGTTTAAGGTATCTGTTTCGCTGACGCTTCTTGTAATATTGGTCATTTCACCAACTGGTAAGAGCTGAGAGTTTAACTGAAGACGGCTTTTGTCACCATTAGTTACCGATGGAGAGGCAGGACTACTGGCAGTCATAATGTGATACAGTCGTCGCGAGTTAATTGTTAAGAGACAACTAAATCTTTCGAATTGTATATATTAAGAAGTTCAAGTAAAGAAACTTTAATTGTCGTGCTTTAGGAGAAACACGCAGATCTACAGTCTTAGTTTCTATAATTAGTAATGATCTTATGTTTCGTAGCTGACGGTGTACATTAAAGTTTATCAAACTACTGTTCCTGGTCACGAATGCCGGTGCGTGTGACATCCAATGTAATCGTCGAACAAGTAGTCGCGTGGCGCTCGATCTTTCAGAGCACGCGCGCACGGGAAGAACGTATCACACAAGTTTAAACAACAGTTATTCGTAGAACATTTCTAGTTATTTGACGAAATTGGTAATTTGCTACGTTTGTTGTGTTATTTGCTTGTTGCTTCCGATGGGAAGCTCAAACGATTTGTATATCGTTACGTATTCTTTTTACGTAATAATCACGGCTCGCAGAACCATAGAATGTGAAATAAAATATACATAGAAACGTATACATAAGTATTTTCTGCTCTTTGATTTGGTGTTGTTTCATGATAGTTATATATTATTAAAGTTACATTTTAAGGCCGTGTAATTCATATCCACGATCGAATTTTATTACTGCACATTCATTGTAGCTAGTAATGTCAAGTTTCAAAAATACACAACAATATAACTTATTGTTTACCTTCTTCGTTGTATTACGCGCTCTCTGTGATCCCCTGCTTTCCCATTTCCAGCTTTGTTATACATGTTACACGTCACATGTACTTGGATCTTGTTACACGTCACATGAAGTTGGATCTTGATCGTAAGTTCTTTTGTCTTTAAATTTCGCCCAAAGCTACACGAGGGCTATCTGCGCCAGCCGACCCTAATTTAGCAGTGTAAGACTAGAGGGAAGGCAGCTAGTCATCACCACCCACCGACAACTCTTGGGCTACTCTTTTACCAACGAATAATGGGATTGAACGTCACTTTATAACGCCCCACGGCTGAAAGGGCGAGCATGTTTGGTGCGACGGGGATTCGAATCCGCCACCCGCAGATTGCGAGTCGAGCGCCCCCTAACCACCTGGCCATGCCGGGCCGATGATCGTAAATTATATATATTTATTTTTAATTAATAAAAGTTTCCAAAGATTAACACAATTTTTATCATAGCTTAAAACTGGAATAACACAATAATAGACAGATAAAATTTTCAAAGGAGACAAGTTTTGTAATGAAATCAACAATTGCAATGTCAAGTGAACTTTCCTAAAAACGTGCCCCCCCCCCCCAGTGGTAAAGCGGTATGTCTGCGGACGTACAACGCTAAAAACCAGGTTTCGATATCCGTGGTGGGCAGAGCACAGATAGCCCATTGTGTAGCTTTGTGCTTAATTCCAAACAATCAATCAAACCTAAAAACGTTGTCTTATTTCTCAAATATAAAGTATATATATTATTTTCATATTAGCTTAGCTGTGAAAATGTTTTAATATTTTCTAATTGCTTATGTATGAAAGCTATGTGTATTCTGTTAGTTGTTTATGTAGATATTTTAAATTAATTTTAATATCAACTTACCCTTTATTAGTATTATTATTACAAGTATAATAAAAAAATTATAAACACAAGTAGGGATCGATATATACATAATCTAGCTAGCTATAATAATGTTGCGTATCTGCTTGCTTGTTAATTTCCGGTATAAATTTATTCCGAGAAACTTCAGCGATACAAGTCCTTTCTTGATTAATCCAGTTTATTCTTCCTCGATACAACCTTTTAATACACAGTAATTTCACAGTGAGTACGAACCTCGTCACTGTAAACTTAACAACTTTTATAACACACGCTATAAATCCCAGTGATTCACACACTTCACTTACGGTGACTACTGTTCGCTTGAATTATCTATCTGCCGCTGGCTTTCTTTTCCAGGCTTATATATACTAAAAAAGAGGGCATCCACATCACACTCGAGCTGGTGGGTAAATTCATAATCCTTCGAGAAACTCCAGCGCGCATGCTCCCTGCATCGCGTGACTTACGCTGTCGTAACAATTGCCCCTACCTTAGTATTATTCGTCCAGAACAGTAGCCACTTACATTTAACCAATAGATAACTAACATTAACTTAATTAAATGTACAGAATTTACAAACATAAAATTAAAATACAACAAAGTCTCTTAATTTTACAGGACGTATCTTCTTCCGTATTGGTATCCATCTCATTGGCTTCTGCTTCACGTGGGGTTCATCTGCTCCATCAGGAAATGTCCCATTATCGGTAATAGTCACATCAGTGGTAGTAACTTCACTAGCAGCTTCACTGTTTTCCTTCTCAAAACCTGTTAGAGTTTCTTCTTCGACAGTGGCTTTTTCAGGTGACACGTCTTCAGCAGTGTCATTTGTTCCATTGTTCCATGCACCACCTTTGGCTTACCTCGCCGACCACATTTTATTCGGATAGTCTCGTCTGAGAGACGATCCAATATGTTAAATGGGCCTTCCCATGGAGACTTCCCTTTGGTCTTCCTGGGATTATATAACCACACCTTGTCTCCTGGTACAAAGCTGACTTCAGTAGATTTCTTATCATAACATAGCTTCATGGAATCAGCAGACGTTTTTAAGTTTGAATGCACTTGATGATGATTATCATCTATCCTTTCAGATAACACTTTCACCAACTCTGGTACATTTTCAGACAACTCTTTGTAAGGTGGGTGTCCTGTTATCAGGTCCACTGGCAACCGAAGTCCCGACAAAACATCAGCTTTGCTGGAGTGTATCCAGTGGCTTCACGTTCTGCTGTTCTATAGGCCATCAACAGTGGAGGACATCCCAGTCATCTTGGTGGCTATTACAAAATTTTGCCAATTCCTGTCCCAGTGTCCAATTGTACTTTTCTACCATCCCATACTGTGGGTGAAGTGGCGTTGTCCTGGTCTTTCGTATGTCAAACAACTTGCAGCATTCATGGAACACAGCTAATTCAAAGTTACGGCCTTGATCTGAATGCAGTTCGTATGGCATACCAAACCTGAAGAAGAAATCACTAATAGCCAAAGCTACAGTTGTAGCTTCCTGATTTGGTATTGCATATGCCTCAGGCCACTTGGTGAAATAATCCATCACCACACAAATGTACTTGTTTCCAGCACGAGTTTGGGGCAATGGATCAGCAATGTCAACAGCTACTCTTTCTATTGGTGCGCCAACTTGACATAACTTATTGGAGCACATCCCTTATGCTTGGGTCCCTTTTAGCAGAACATGTACTGCAGGTACTGCACCATTCTTCCACATCTTGCCTCATACCTATCCAGTGAAATCTCTGCCGTAGGTGACTCAATGTCTTCTTAACTCCAA